TCTGTAAGGAAGAATTTCCACTTCCCCCCCCCCCCCAAATAGCTAGCAATCCAAAACAGTCCAGTGGAGCCTGAGTGGTGGGTGTTGCCTTCTGACACACGTCCGGTGATGTCAGGGTGTGTGGCATATGCAAATAAGTTATGCTAATGAGTTATGCTAATGAGCTCCTGCACCTCTTTCTCTACGAAATGACCCCTGAAAATAACCAGTCTGATGAGGGCTGAGCATTCTCCAGGGGGCATGGAACAGAGCGTGGAGCGGAGACTTGGGGGGACGGGGGAAACAGAGGGGGATGGGGAAACTGGTCTACTGATACTCCTGAGAGTTTCAAGAACCTTGAAGGCAGATGACTTTGGGCGCAAGGGTTGCAAGCCAGAGGTGTTAAACTCGTAGGTGTCAAACTCGTTTGTTATGAGGGCCGGATCTTACATAAAAATTACTTCATCGGGCCAGGCCATGTGTGCCATAAAATGAAATGGCAGGAGCCGGAGATATAAACTTTATCAATGACACAGGCAAACACAATTAATGATATTACTTTTTACCCAAAATACAGACAAAAGCGACTGATTCCTAGGAGTGAAAGCAATTGATTTACTGGGGGATCCACAGAAGCCCCAATAAATGTATTTAATCTTATGCAAGACTAGGCATTTCCCAAGGGATACCATACCTGCCCCCTAGCCATTTCCTTTCATTTCTTGACAGCTCTGACCACACACACCTCACCATGTGTGCCCACACACCGGCTCCCTCTCCAAGCAGCCTCCTGCCTCCCCTCTCTTGCACCAGTTGCTCACAGGCCAGATAAGAACCTTGAACCTTGGAAAGGCCAATTCCGGCCCCTGGGCTGCATGTTTGACACCCCTGTTCTAAGCTGTTCTCTTTTTTTAACTTTTATTTTATTATTATTTTTTCCTTGAACATTACAGTTTGACAGATTACATATATTTTCAGAGTTATTCATACCTCCAACTTATTTATCCACGTATAAACCCTTTTCCATCTATTGCTGTGTACCGTATTATTTTTCCCTTGTAGTTTTACACTCAAATCATCCATTTGCGCAAGCTCTAGCAATTTTAAGCTTAGGTCTGTTTTAGAGGGCACTTCTTCTAATTTCCAAAACTTTGCCAGCAACATTCTGGCAGCCGTTATTATATATATTATAAGATATACATCTTTGAAGCTATGTCCATCTGGCACAATATTTAACAAAAATATCTCTGGTCTCAAATCTATTTTCAGTTCTAAAATTTCTTGTATAAATTGATTTATCATAATCCAGTATTTTTTTTTATTTTCTTACATTTCCACCATATATGGTAGAAAGTCCCCACATTCAATTCTAAGCTGTTCTTGATCCCCACAGGCCTTCAGTTTGTTCTACCAGTTTATCAATTTCAGTCTGAACATCTACTGCAAAGAAGAAGATGATGATGATGATGAAGAAGAGGAGGAGGAGGAGATCGGATTTATACCCTTCACTGCCCAAACGAGTCTCAGAGTGGTTTACACACTCCTTTCCCTTCCCCTCCCCACAACAAGACACCCTGTGAGGTAGGTGGGGCTGAGAGAGCTCTAACAGAAACTGCTCTTTTTTCAAGAACAGCTCTGACAGAACTATGGCTTGCCCAAGGTCATCCAGCAGGTGCAAGTGGAGGAGTGGGGAATCAAACCCGGTTCTCCCAGATTAGAGTCCACGCACTTAACCACTACACCAGCTTAGTTTGCTGCTTAAGGAACTGGCTTGCAAAATCTCCCGTCTGAGATGCTCAGACCGGAGAATGCCTCTGGAGTCAACCACTGTTGTAGAACACCTTGGAGTCAGCTTGCTAGAGTTGGGCATTCAGAATGTTTGGCATCCTCCAGTGATTTTTCAAAACACGCCATACTCTAAGGTCACAAGGGGGACACCTGTCATTCAAGGAAGCTTGTCTACCGTTACTGTCATAAGCCAAAAAATGAATATGGACCAAAGGAACAAATGCAGGTTCCTCCCCAGGCCTTATCCCTGTCTCCGGCCTCCCGATATCTCTGTGGAGGTCAGTGGGGGTTATTTATTAAGATCCAGCCTCTATCTCCACTCTCCATTTCTCAGTGGCAGGATCTTAATAACAAACCTCGCCACCCTTCACAGGCTGCTGTCAGATGACAAGCTTCGCGCACTGTGGCCACGCCTCTAATTACACCATTTTATTTTGTCACTGGGGGTTTTGATCAGACATCCCACCCTGAGCCAGCTTCACTGCGTGCTCACTTCATGGCTGACTGTTCAGATTATTGCTACGTGGCAACCATGGCAGCCACCTTTTTTCAATTTGTTTTTCACTCGTGCGCATAAGCGTCCGCTCGAAGCACTGCTCCTTTTTGACAGCTCAGCCCCGCCCCGCCAGAAATCAAACGAGGATTCCAATTAGCACTGCTCCTTTTTGACAGCTCAGCCCCACCAGAAATCAAACGAGGATTCCAAAGTGACAGCTCTGACCTCGCCCCGTTAAGGGCATGCCTTCAAACTCCTGGCGAGATGGCGGCAGCTGGTGGCCAATGGGCTTGCTGGAGGAGGGTGCTGGGATATGTGGTGCAGCATGCAGGAAGTGTTTCTGAAACTGTACTTTGGCGGTTTTCTTAAGAAAAACACAGTCTTGACAAGCTCGCATGAGAGACCAAGGGGCGCTTATGAGCTAGTCGCTAATGATCGGGGGGGGGCAGAAATAGATGGGAAGGTTCACACTTTCCAACCAGCTTGAGTTTGCAACAGGGGAGTTCAGACACCCGGAAATGCTGAATAAAAGCACTGACATCCATAAAGACAGGACTTTCCCAGGTGCCTAATAACTCCGAGTCGAAGGCGGGTCAGAACGGAATGCCAACGACTGGGGAATAGGAGGTAGATATTGCTGTCTGATTGTGTATTTTAAATCCGGAAGGGAACAGCAATGACACCAGATCAAGCTGATCGTCTGACCGCAGCCATGGTTTCCCTTGTTATCAAATTTCAGATTGTAAGCGCCTCGGAGCAGGGACCTATATCCTCATACTTTCAAAGGTGCACACGGACGACATTATAGAAGTGATAAGGATATGGCAAACAAATCTTTCCCCCAAGTTCTCTTTCATATGTTGCCACTGTGATTCTTTTTCATCCCAGCCATTTTCGTGCCCAGTTCCCTTGGTCTCTCTTTTTGCCATGTTTGCAAAACGCCATGAAGCCCCTTTTACACATTCAGTGAAAAGACAATATTGTGCACGTGTGTAAAGTGCCATCAAGTCGCAGCGGACTTATGGCAACCCCAGCAAGGGACCTTCAAGGCAAATGAGAAGCAGAGGTGGTTTGCCACTGCCGCCTTCTGCAGTCTTCCTTGGAGGTCTCCCTTCTAAGTAACGACCATGCTTAGCTTCTAAAATCTGACAAAATCAGGCTATACCATGCAGCTTTCCTTCCCTGCAGGAGCGCACAGGAGTGGAGCTCTGGCAGTAAAGAGCCCAGGGGGCGGGCACATGCAACAAGCCCCGCCCCCCCACTCCCAGCAGCCCTCAGTCAGAGCAAGAAGCAGCCAGGTAATTTGCAGAGCTCCCCAAAACAATCCAGTGGAGCCTTTAAGACCAAGTTTTATTCAGGTACAAGCCCCGCCTCCTCTGCGAGGACATATCTGCACGTCCCCCCCCCCAATAGCTAGAAATCCAAAACAGTCCAGTGGAGCCTGAGCGGTGGGTGTCGCCTTCTGACATGCTTCCGGTCATGTCAGGGGGTGTGGCATATGCAAATGAGTTATGCAAATGAGTTATGCTAATGAGCTCCTGCACCTCTTTTTCTACGAAATGACCCCTGGTCACAGGGAAGTAGACAATGTCGGGAAATTAAAAATACAGAGGGGTTGATTCACACAACGGGAAAATGGGGATTTCTTTTTCAAAATTCGGGCACAACCTGTGCTGGTAAGCCATTAATAAATCACAGGGGCCCCTGTATTCCGGTCACACTATTTGAAAACTGCCAAGGGAAGCCTCACAGTTTTGGGGAAGGGGGGGGCATGTGATACAGAAGAAGTGCCAGAGCCCTCCGAGACAACCCAGAGAGCAGCCTACCTCTCTCGCGAACGAAATACGCCAGGTAGAGATCGAGCTCTTTGACGGAGACGCTGATGTGGTGGGGCTGGACACAGAGGATGGGGTTGGTGCACTGGGCGGCCTTGACGAGGCGCTCCCCGTCGGTGCTCTCCAGGGGGATGCCCTTGAAAAGGATGACCATGACGAGGTCCAGGCGCCACACTTTGTCGGCCTGTCGCAGGCAGTCGATCCGGCGCATCTTCCCCTTCTGGTCGGGGTTGGAGAGGACGCAGCACGAGGGCTTCTTGCCCGTAATCGAGAGGACAAAGTCTTCGCGGAACTCGGGCCGGATGTCCTTCCGGAGCTTGGCCAGCAAGCGGGAGGCCCACTTCTGCTTCACCTCGGGCTTCTCGTTCAGCAGCTCGTCCTTCACGGCCCGCTCCTCGTCCTTGGTCATCCGCTTCTCGTGCTTCTTGAAGTACTTGCGCTTCCGGGCCTGCAGGTTGAACCAGGTGTAGGCGAAGGCCCGGACGTGAGGAAGGAGGGCCTCGATGAAGGGATGGAACTCATCCTGGAGAACAGAGAGGAAAGAGAGGAGGAGAGTCAGGAATGGGGCTGCCGAGGTTTCAGTAGAGCACGGCCGCTGGAGGGAGGACAATGGGAAGCGACAGCCAACTAATGACCTCACATGAGGTTCTGTAGCTCCACCGACGCAGGGGATGCTGAGAGCTACCAGACAAGGTCTCTTTCTGGCTCCCCCCAAACACCAACCTGACCCAACTGTCTTCTGAACACAAATCACAGGACTTGCTTTTAAGACCAACACCTTGTGGTCAGTGTTCCCTCCAAGCTGAGTTAGTGTGCGCTAGCTCACCGTTTTTTAGCCTCTGGCTCACACATTTTTGTCTTTGCTCAGGAAGGATGGGGCTCCAGAGCAGACTAATTGATGCAGCAGCCAAATCGCTCGCTCACCACTTGAATGCCAGGAGCTCACTAAGTAGAGTTTTTGCTCACAAGACTCTACAGCATAGAGGGAGCACTGCTTGTGGTGGCAGAAAGTGCCGTCAGGTCGCAGCTGACGTCTGGCGATGCTCCCGCTAAGCTGTGGTGTCTTGTGAGCAAAGATTCTACTTGGTGAGCTCCTGGCATTAAAGTGATGAGCGAGTGATTTGGCTGCTGCATAAATTTGTTTGCTCCGGAGCCCTCCTTCCTGAGCTGAGACAAAAAATGTGTGAGCCGGAGTCTAAAAAACTGTGAGCTAGCTCACACTAACTCAGCTTAGAGGGAACAGTGCTTCCAAGTGCTAACCCGAGTCCACGCTGCTTCGCTTCCGAGATCTGATGAGATTAGGCTCGCCCGGGGCTAAAAATCCTCTCCCTGACATTATATGTCATCCTTCCTCCAAGCTGGCCCCCTCCCCACATTACCCTCACAGCCAGTGTTCCCTCTAAGCTGAGTTCGTGTGAGCCAGCTCACAGCTTTTTAGTCTCTAGCTCACACATTTTTGTCTCAGCTCAGGAAGGAGGGCTCCGGAGCAAACTCATTTATACAGCAGCCAAATCGCTCGCTCGCAACGTTCATGCCGGCAGTTCACAAAGTAGAACTTTTGTTCACAAGACTCCACGGCTTACAGAGGGCGCATTGCTCCAGAGCAAACTGACGTATGCAGTAGCCAAATCGCTCGCTCACAGCTTTCATGCCAGGAGCTCACAAAGTAGAATTTTTGCTCACAAGACTCCACAGCTTAGAGGGAACATTAACTTATACTAAAATCATTCTGACAACAAAGTGTGCAGGGTCCCCAAATGGTCAAGCGGAAGGCATCACATCAAGATGCAAAAGAGAGAATCCCCCTGCTACCAGGAAGCAGGAAACTAGCTCGGTGAAATAAATGGCCTACTCTTCACTCTTCTAATTTTCTACTTGTGAGGTGTCTATTGTTTCTTCTCAACACAGGAGAAAATTCTAAAATGCAGTTCTCCGAGCCCGCCCACACTCTGAAGCGGCCTAGCCCATTCCACCAGCCCCAAAAGCCGACTTCAAGGCTGCTGCACGCAAACACGAGACGTTAGAGACCCGTTTCGGCCCTGCCAGCTCAAACCAGCAGGATACGGCACCTCCCAAACGGAACTCCTTCTTCAGGTCTGGTTCTCCTTAAGCGTAATTGAGCATCGCACCACAGAACGAACCACAGTTCCCCCTCCCCAAGTCAGAAATGCCTGGCTTCACACAGCATGCCTGGCTATAGTTTTCTTTCCGCGGTTTGGGATTGGAACCAGGTCTCTCTTCCCTACTGGGATCTGTGGCTCTTTGGGCTGAACATGACCTGCACTGGAAGAAGGAATCTGTCCCAATGTTGATGTGGGGAAGGGAGAAAGGGAAAAGAAATTCTGAACTTTCACAATAAAAATGACAGATTGCAAAACAAAGGAAAGGGGAGAGGAGGGAAGAAGAAGAAGAAGAAGAAGAAGAAGAAGAAGAAGAAGAAGAAGAAGAAGAAGAAGAAGAAGAAGAAGAAGAAGAAGAAGAAGAAGAAGAAGGCGAGGAGGAGGAGGAAATTGGATTTATAACCCACGCTTCTCTACCCAAAGAAGTCTCATAGCAGCTTACAATACCTTTCCCTTTCCCTTCCCCTCCCCACAACAGACACCCGGTGAGGTGGGAGGGGGGGCTGAGAGCTCTTTCGAGGACTGCTCATGAGAGAAAAGCTCTGAAAGAACTTATGACTGGCCCAAAGTCCCACCAGCAGCTGCATGTAGAGAAGTGGGGAATCAAACCCGGTTCTCCCAGATTAGAGTCTGCGGCCTTAACCACTACACCAAACTGGCTCCTGTAATCCACCCATCCCCCTGCATCCATATAACCTGGGTTTCCGGGCAAAGTGGAGATTTAATAATCTGCATTTTAAACAGAAAAGTTAAATGTTCTTCATCAGGAACAACACGATACTGTCTTCAGGACAGAGTTTGCAAATCAAGAAAACGTGCATCTACGGCTGTTGTTTACTCTGATTTGCAAAAATTAATTTTGTTTTATAATTCTTTTGACACATCTAGAATCATAGCTGTTCCCCAAAGGGGCACAAATAAATAAGAAACCCCCTCCCATGTCTTTCACCTCTGGCTCCACAACAATCACAGTTCTTTCATGGAGTCTAACCCTACAACACTGCCCCAACCCAGTGATTACATTATCATATTGCAGTCCTTACCAACAGCTCTAGAAGAAGAGGAGGAGGAGGAAGAGATTGGATTTATAACCCGCCCTTCACCCAAAGGAGTCTCAGAGCAGCTTACAAACTCCTTTCCCTTCCCCTCCCCACAACAGACACCCTGTGAGGTAGGTGGGGCTGAGAGAGTTCTGACAGAAACGTCTCTTTTTCAGGAAGAGGTCTGACAGAACTATGGCTTGCCCAAGGTCATCCAGCAGGTGCAAGTGGAGGAGTGGGGAATCAAACCTGGTTTTCCCAGATTAGAGTCCGCGCACTTAACCACTACACCAAACTGGCTCCAAACGTAGGCTAATATTGGGGGGGAAATGCAAGAGGTGGAAAAGAATACTGTACTTGGGGGCTGGTTAGAGGAATTTGGATTGGGAGCAAGTCAGGTGACACTCCCCCACCCGCACCGTGGAGCTACTTGATCCCAACGATTCCTGAGAATTGGGGCGGGGTGGATCCTATATTTGAACACTTCCCTGGTTCTGAACAGCTGAACTAGCTGGATCTTCCTGTTCCTCAGTTCACCAGAAACTCACATTCCCCCTCCTGTCAAACTGGGGGAAAGTTACAAGATTTCAGCTTACAATGGATCGATCCTGTCCCCCCCCCCCACACACACACACAGCTTCCCAGCAGCGGCAAATTAATGACAAGGGTGTGGTTTTGCTACGGAGTTTGATACTGGGCGATTCTGAGTCGGCTTTTCCCTCCGTCGTTTCACCAAACCCAAGTCGGAATAGAAATTCCCCTCTGCACTGCATGCTGCTTTCACTTTCTTTGACCGTCAGATTTTATGGAACCTTCTGCATAGATTTATGGCCATTCAGAGGCAGCTTCGCAGTCAGTACAGTGTTGCCCCGGGGTATTTGAATGTGGTTTTGAGTTGCACCTTTGGTAGAACGATGGAGGGAAAAGTCAATGCAGGATCGCCCAACTGATAGGGAGAAAGTGAAAGGAGACCTGATAGGAAACTGAGGGCTATTTTTGGGCAGGAACGGCGTTCCGGCTGGCTCCCAAGTTGGCCACGCCCAGCAGGAACTCGTTAGCATAATAGGCCACACCCAACAGCAGAAGAGTTCAGCTTACAATGGATCGATCCTGTCCCCCCACACACACCCCCCACACACACACAGTTTCCCAGCAGCGGCAAATTAATGACAAGGGTGTGGTTTTGCTACGGAGTTTGATACTGGGCGATTCTGAGTTGGCCTTTCCCTCCGTTGTTTCACCAAACAATTCCCCTCTGCACTGCACGCTGCTTTCACTTTCTTTGATCATCAGATTTTATGGAACCTTCTGCATAGATTTATGGCCATTCAGGGGTAACTTCGCAGTCAGTACAGTGTTGCCCCGGGGTATTTGAATGTGGTTTTGAGTTGCACCTTTGGTAGAACGATGGAGGGAAAAAGTCAATGCAGGATCGCCCAACTGATAGGGAGAAAGTGAAAGGATTTAAAACATGTTTATGCAGGGCTATTTTGGGCAGGAACGCACAGGAATGGAGTTCTGGCTGTCTTCCAAGTTGGCCACGCCCAGCAGGAACGTATTAGCATAATAGGCCACACCCAAGAGCAGAAACTCATTAGGATATGCTACATTAGGGGTGTGTGGCCTAACATGCAAAGGAGTTCCTGCTATAAAAAAAGGCCCTGGGTTTTGACAACAAACAAGGTAAACAGAATAAGAAGCAAAAGGTGGGTGTGGCTGGATGACCACACTTCTGGTAACATGGGGGAGTGGCCTAATATGCCAATGAGCTGTGCTATCAGGGGTGTGGCCTAATATGCTAATGGGTTTCTGCTATTGGGTGTGGCCTATTATGCTAATGAGTTTCTGCTGGGCTTTTTCTACAAAAAGAGCCCTGACTGAGACCATGAAGAAACAGAATGTGACTCCGCTAACAGAGAAAAAAAAGGAAACCGGAGAGAAAAGACAGATCGACTTTCGGATTCATTGAAGAGAGGAAAAAAATCAGGGTGCAGCTTTCCCCCCTTTCTGCAAAACTGGGGACTCTGGGCCACCAACCAGGCCAGGTTTTCCTATTTGTGCATTTCCCTCCATTGCCGAAATGCACTTAAACTAACCAGAGCTTTGAAAGACAGAAAGGAGGGCAGGGCTGGAAAACAGGGAAATTAGCAAATCCTGAAGCAAGGTCACACGAGGACACTGCTCCTTGCAACAGAGGAGGGTACGCGGAGGTCAGGCCAGGTGAGGTCTACACTGGGAGTAATTCATTAGCCAGCCAGTACATCTGTGTTCAGTCTCGGATAATCCCCGATTGGATTTCAGACTTCCGTGAGGGCACACACCCACCATGAGCAGTGCAGTGTCCCCGTCCTGGCCTTTCCCCA